CCCCAACAAAAAATCAACCCGAAAAACAACTCCAAACAGTAGGCCAAACGCTCACACGCAAGCGCTCGCCCTGGGCTATGGGGAACGAAGAAGAGAGGGAGAGAGGGGGGGCGAAACTTTGCCTTCCAGTAGTTTACTGTTTTAAAAAACAACTCAAAAACACGACAAAAACAAGAGTTTATGAGCTTGATGTTAGTTTTATCTCTTTGACCTCGACAAAACAACAATGCAAAATCTAACCCCGATTTAATTCTCGAATCGTGCAGATGTGCTGTACTGCTTACCTCCCAAGTGTATCAACATTTGACTCTTCAAACCGAATCGTTTTCTAGTGGATCCTTTTTCTATGCCAGAGTAGCTGCTGTGCTGTTTGCAGATTTGCCGCGCAGCTCCTGTTTTCCCCGCGCAAGGGTATTCACTGCTGCCAACAGTCTGTAAAGTAGGAAGCTCTTACAAACTTTTACTGCAAGTGCAGGAATTTATCTAATTGAAAGAAACAAACCATTAAATATCCAATAAATGAGCTTCGATCCTCTCAATAGTATTTCAAAGCTAGAAGTCGGGATCGGTCTCTAGGCAGGTGTGGTCAGAGTGTTGAATTCCCTTGCTGTTTTGTCTTTTGTTTTCTTGCTGGATATTCGAATGTTAATGTTTTGAGGGTTATGGGTTATTGTGTTCAGGCTTCAATGTGTCACTCACTGGAAACCTGCGTCTTTGCAGATTAATGATTTTGAAAACTGAGACGTTTAATTAAATTGTTTCCTACTAGTCCTCATAATGCATTCGGAGGACTTCAGAATCAGTGTCGACAAACCTGGCTTGAAATGTTGTGCTCGAGACTGCAGTGGCACCGAAGAAGATGGCAAATTCCTCTTTAGTTTTCCTCCAGTCACTAATAAGAAAAGTAGAAAGAGGTATGTCGCCGTATATGTTTTATTTACTGTAATTAATAATTCCTCTTGGATGTAATCACTTTTTGCTATCTAACATGATTATCATTCTTGTTTACGTTTCTGTTAACCTCTCTCCACAGGTGCCTAATGTGGGTAAGGAAGGCTGGCAATGTGGAGCTTTTGAAATACAAGCTGACCGAATTGACTGATAAATTTTATTTGTGCTCGAGTCATTTTACTCACGAGGAGCATGATACATCACACCGAAAAATCCCAAGTTCTGCTCTACCAGTCAAGTTTGATTGCACACCTTTAAGATTCGACCTTCTTAACGTAGCATTCTCTGAATCATCCGAGCTAGATAAGAAATCAGGTATGTATCAATATACTCAACTCACCCTTTTTTCATTTTCTTTTTACATCCATATCTAGACATCCTCAAGGTACTTTATCAACAGAAGACAAACTTGATAGACCGGTTAGAAATAGTTCTCTACGAATTCAATTATAAATTAAACAAAGTTTAGAATGTGGATGCTCAAAGTTTCTAAAAGGGAACCATGCCCTCCTTACCTCTGCTGAAGAGGGTTGTTCTTGAAGTAATAATGGCAAAGCAAGTTCACTTTTAGTGGTTGTCTGTACTAACACTTCTTTAATCCTAACAGGTGAAACTGATACCAAAGAAAATTGTGATGAATCCCAGGTTGAAGTAAAAGCAGACAATGGTCCAGAAGAAAATCAAAGTGAAAGTAAAACTGATGAAAAGGAAAAACATTTTCAACCAGAAGGGAGGGAAGGCGCGAAAGACCAAGAGGCAGAGGATACTTCTGCTTCTCTTCTAACTAACAAAACTGACTCTCAAGAAAATGATAACAGTTCTGAAACACAGAGTAAAAGAAATGATTCTGACTCAATAGCGATGAAGAATCATGCTGATCCAATAGCCAACAAAAGTGATGATAAACTACAAACTGACAAAAGTGCGTGTGAAATTTCCAAGAAGAATGCAGAACCTCAAGATAATCAAAGTTGTCTCGGGGCCAGTGAGAAACAGAGTGATCCTGACTGCCAGTCCAAGGAAAATACTGTTAGTCAACCATCACCAAACAACACATTAAGTCAAACAGTATCAGATAAGTCACCAAGAAAATCTCTAACTGAATCGGTTGCTCAGTCTGATAATATTGTAGTCAAACAAGAAGTGATTACAGACGAACATGTTGATCAAGTTGATAGGTAAGGGATTTTAATTAATTGGTCTTCAACTATCAATAACATTATGTAATCTATATATATTTTTTTATCTGTCCCAGTCTTCAAGATAAAGCAAGTAAAACAGTGGAAGAAACAAAGACTCCTGGAACTTCATCCCCTGAAAAAAGCACCACAGATTCTCCATCAAACAAAACTCAAAGACGCATGTCTGGTCGAAAGAGAGAGACTCCAACAAGGAAAGCTAAAAATGATGCTTGTGATAGGCTGAGTGGGAAAGGTAAAAAGGATACTGAAGAACTTGAACCTGAAAAAAAAATACCTAAGGTCGTTGCAGGAAAAAAGAAAAATGCCAAAAAAGTTAAAGGTAATTCAATTAAAACAATTGCACCAAAAGCATCGGTTGATTCAATAGAGAGAACGGTTGCGAGATCTTTTATTGTCTCTAAAGACATTCTTTCAAAGTTGGGCTCAAAATTAGGGGTTCCTGCCAGCACTGTGTCCACTGCCCCTGAAAGATCTCCAATTATTACAGGTGTGTTTTCTAATTATCAAAGTCCCCAGAAATCGAACACTCCAGTCATTACTAACATTAGGAGTCTGCTGCCCCAGAATGGAATGGAAAATCAGTCAGCGAGATCAGACATGGGTCTCAAGACCTCTCCTAGTAATTATCTCCCCTTTGGAAGCAGTGTTGAACCAATTTTAAGAACCACTGGTACCCAAACATCTGTTGCAAGGACTAACAAATTTTTAAATATTTTGGACTCTGATAGAAAACTATGTGTATTTAGTGGTATACCCTCTTTTGAGGTCCTTGAGAATATCACTGATGCCACCCTCAAAATGGTAATGAATAGTGAAGCAATGAGAAGTGATATTCAGCCAACTATGCGTGAGTGGATTATCATAACATGTACAAAATTTATGCTAAATATTTCCATAGAGGCCGTTTCAATTATGTTTGGATTAGCTGAAGACGAGTGTCTACGAATAGTTGAAAAAACTAGTTTATTTCTGAGAAGAACACTGTCACTACCTGATGGTCAGAAATATGTTTGGTGTTTACCAGGTGATGTGCTTAATGGCATTGCTGACTTTTCAGATGGTGCTGTGAATGTTGGTTAAGTAGAAAGACTGCAACAACGACTTTTAGTTGCTATCCTCGTTGTTTTGATGATTAAGATTGCAGGAGTATGGATATTGATATTAACCGTCAATTCCACATGCGTAGCCTTGTAAATCAACTTGTATTACCCATTCTGCTCATGAACTGTAGTTAGGATTTGATTTCAATTAAGCTTTCGTTTATATTTGTGTAAATAAATTTTTAAACGCTTCTTTAAGATTTTGTGTGTTGGTCTTACCACCTTTTGGAACAACATGTTCATCAATTTTAGACAATTGTTTTTCTTTTCTTTTTTTGAAGGAGGCTTGATATGGTGGTGGAAGAGTCGTAGACATGCTTGACTGGTGGTTTTTGCTGTGCCGACAGGTGTCTTCCACGTCACCGGTGAGTATAGATGTCGCCCACACCCAGAGCCCAAATGGGGTTGTCGCTATCCCTTTAAGCACCCTTTCCCTTCTCTCCCGCCGGGGTGGAGGCCAAGACCCTCGCGATATATATATGTCTGTTTGTGGTGCGTAGAGCACCGCCTCCCCCAAGTGCACTCTTCCAATCTGCGCGCCTGGACCTTTACACGGGTCATGTCGAGTCGGCTGCGGGTAAGCGCGGGGCCGGCGGAGCAAGGGCGGAGCGCCGGGCGTGCTGCCAGGCCGGCGCCGAGCCTGCGCCGCACCGAGTGTCCTGGGCCCCGCCGCCCCCGCCGCCTCCGCCGCAGTGGGGCCCCCGGCCGGCCCCCGGCGCGCTGCGGGCTGCGGGGCCCCAGCCGCCCTCAGTCTGCGCCGGTCCTCGGTCCCCGCAGCATCAGCAGCAGGCTGAGCCCCCCCGCGGCCCGAGGCGGCAGCAGCGCGGCGTAGCGACGCGTCGCGTAGCGAGCGTATAGCGAGCCACCCCTCGCGCTCGCTCCAGCCAGCCGGCTAGACCAGCGCGCCGCCCCCGGCGCCAGCCCCTCTCCACCTCAGCACACATTTCTCTCGCGCGTCGCCGACACGCGTTTCGCCCTCTCTTTATTCTCTTCTTTTCCCCGCCTCTGGTGCGCGCGGTGCGTGGTGCCGATGGGCGCCAAATAGCCCCCGAGCCGCCGTCACTGGGGAAGGCCAGGGGGGCCTGTGTCACCGTGCGTGCTGCCTGCGCACAGCCGTGAATAAGAGTCTGCCGATTGCCCGCCGGCGTCCTGGGCGACGGGACGCGACAACGTGTCGCTCGGAGCGACCCCGTCGTGTGACTGTGTCGCGGACGCGCGGGGGAATTTCGCGCTCGCGTACCCAGCCGTCATTACTACAGTAGTGTCCGGTCGGCCGGCCGGCCGCGATTGGGCGACCGCGAGCGCCGCCAGAGTGACACGTTAGTGACGCGCGAGTGACGCGATGGGGCCGCCACGTGGACTAGCGCTGGTGCTGCTGGCGTGCTGCTGTTGGTGCGCCGGTGTTGCAGGTAAGGCGTCCGTCCCCGTGCTGCAACTGCTGCAACTGTCGTCGCGATAGTTGATTAAGAAAGTGTGTTTCTCGGATTTGCTTGCCATGGTGTGGACATTATTATTTACCTGGTGCTGTAGCCTCCGCCCCCCCCGTCCACCCCTTTCTCTTAATCGTTGCTAATCCCTCCCCGACCTGCGGGGCGATTGCCAGTTTGCACGCAACATTGACCCAAGGCGGGCAAGGTTGGTTTACTCCTTTCAATTTGGAAAACGCCCTCTAATTTGCATAGCAATCCCCCCGCCGGGGCCGCGTTCGGGAGAGATCTAGGACGAGAGCCGGGCCGGGGCCCCCATAGCCGCATAGGCCCGAGCTTGCCGGGCCAGGTCCATGGCCGCCAGTGTTCAATGCTTTGCGTTAAAGACGGGCTCGCTCGGAGGGAACGCGCCCCGGCAAGGTGAAGGTCGAGCCTCCCCATGGTGTGGGAGCTTCACCATGGGGAGGGCGGGGAGAATAATTTGAGAGGATTCGAGACAAACGAAACGGAAAGAGAAATATGCGGGACGCGGCGGGCTGCGGGGAGGGCAGAGCAGAGCAGCGAGAAAGAAATTGACGTGTTGTGCGCGGGAGGGCAGAGGCAGAGTCATTTCAAATCTGCCATGTCAGTGATGGCTGGTTGGTCCTGACGGGCCTGTGGCAGTCTCCACTGCATTGACGAGGCGTATCCTATTTATATCTCGTTTGAGATATTGGCCGAGCTGGCGGGGACAGCGGCGGAAAGGGACCCCCGGGCGCCGCCGGCACACTGCTCGGCTACGGCACGGCGGCGGTTGGGCAATGTTGTTTTGGGTGAGGATGTTTCGGGCAGAAATAAACACAGGCTGCGGCGGGGCCGGGCCACCGGGCCTCCCTTCGGGGCTGCTGGCGGCCGGGGCGGGAGCCGCCTGGAAGGCAGGCAGTCTGGGCGCGCGGCTGGGCGGCGGGTTTGCCTGCCTACCGCATTCCCTCCGCCGACCTGCGCCACCCTGGAGGAGCTGTATGAGGAAAAACAGCAACGCCCAATGCCACGCCAAGTTGACGGGAAGGGCATTCACGATTCAGCACGGAAATAGTGAGACTCGTTCACTATAGTTGTAAAACAATTATTTGTTTGTAACCTCAAATTTTGTTATCAATCAATTTAGTACAATGAGAGCAAATTTCTTTTTCGAACGCGGGCTTTTAAAAAGCTCTAAATTTGGTTTGGTTCAAACCTACTAAATCATGATGCCCTCAGTTGAATGGTTGTCGTGTGGAATTTTGGGTGTAGTCAGCGCCTGCACCCGGGCGGGTATCAAGATGCCCAGGTGGCGTCCGAAAGCGTCGGTGAGAGGCGCGATGGAGCTATGGCCCGCGGGCCAAGCTTCTCACTCCCGCCCGACCCCCACCCGTCGCTTTCGGACGCCAAGTAGGTATCCAGACGGGGCCGCGCGGTGCAGCGCTCGGATTGGATGGGCCCGGGTCCTCCAGGGACCGCCTGGAAGGTAGGCACGCTGGGCACATGCCTGCGCGGCGGGCCGGCCTACCCAGCCAGGCGCCTCGGCTCCTGCTGCTGGAGACTGGCTCCGCAAGGTTGGGGGCCTTTCGTGCCTCCGCCCTTGTCGCACTCATGAGGCACGGCCATAAGGTGGGAGAGAGAAGACCGCCTTGAGCGCTCGCTTGCGGAATCAGTCTGCAGTTCACTAGCCCCTAAACCTAGCAAGAATGTGCACACCCTCCCTCTAGTCTCCCGGCCCTCTCCCTCTCCTCCTTTCCCTCTCCCTCTCATTTCCCTCTCCCTCTCCCCCTC